TTTAAAAGCTGTAGTCGAAGTTTTTGCTTCAGATGCGTCTTATTTGAGAGAAAATGTTCATTTGTCCCAGAAGTTGCACTACATGAGGGTTAGAAGTTGGAGGAAAAAGAAAAAAGGCTGAATGTTGCCTGTCAATTTTTATCACAAGCTCTAATCTGCTTAAACAAAGGACTAATTAAGCGCACTTTAAACGTCTATAAATGTTTCCTAAATCCCAATTAGCAGCCTGTTTGGATTACAACAACTTTTAACCATTTAACAAGACGTTTCTTACATATATTCGTTTTGTTCCTAATCTTCTCCGGTACAAACTAATAACTGCCACCAGCTACAACAAACGTGATTCCCCCCTTAAAGACCTGCGTTAAAAAGGAGCTGCTATGCGTGATGACCGTAGTGAACAAAAAGCCACAGTACTGGACAAAGAAAACAACCATCCAGCTCGAGGACCAATGAGGGGTTTCTTTCACTTTTCAATCACTTCTAGTCGTGCCCGGGATTAAGAGAGGGCTCTTGACTCTCTCTTTCACACAAAACCAAGAGTGCTTGTCAGCAACTTGAAGGAAAAAAAGAAGAGAATAATACGTTAGTCCAGGGTTATCGTGTTTAATTGGATTAGGTGGTGTCATGTTGAAGTCCGGAGCATGACAAACAAGAGATAGACGCAGCTAAATACAGCATTATCCCACTACAAGGTTTACTGAAACAAATAAACTTTTTTTAAATTTTATTTTTATAAACGCATTTTATTTGCTTTTTAAAATTATTTTATTTATTTATTTTTTTTTAGATAGAAATTCTGCATAGATATCTCGTTCCTAGAGAGAGTGCATGTTTTGGTGTCCCTTCCACAAAATGAAGTGAAACATGCTGAGGCTAAGAACTGTGGCGCTGGAGAGGTTTATATTGTCGGGGATTGTGTTGTTCGGCTGTGCGCTGCGCTCATCTGTGCGTCAAGCAGCGGCGGCAATAACAAGGTGCGCGCAGCTGTGTGTGCAGGTGCGCGGCCTCCACCTGCTCAACGGCCGAGAGAGAGAGAGAGAGAGAAAGAGGAGAGAGGAGAGGGGGAGGAGGGGGGAGGCCGGTGCGAAGCAGAAAGAGAAAAAAAGCTTGTTTTTTTTTCGATTGTGCAGAGAAATGGGGAATTATAGTTTCAGATTTGGTGCTTTGTTGCAGGTTTCGAGCTTTAAATATGCGAAAGAGTTGATCAAACTTAAATCATCAGGGGAGCAAACGATGATGCAAGTTGGGAGGAATTAAATATTTGGTTGGAAACTTTGAACTCTAAAGCCTGCAAGTGGACACACCTTCTTAAGCGCAGATTTTTTAGGGTTCTAAATGCTCCAGCAGTCATCTGGTATTTTGCACCGTTTTGGCTCCATGTGTGAATCGAAAAACTGCGAGGTTCGATGGAGCCACTGTAAAAGCGTTTATAGAGGATGCTCAGATATTGACAGCAGTCAGGTAAACAGTTTAGAACAAAGAGAGGCAGCATCACAGGAGAAGATGCGCATCAGTGCCCAGACGCGCATCAATAGTTTTTTGGCAAAAAAAAAAAAAGTTACGTTCAGATTTGGTAAAAATATTTCAATGATGATTTTTTAAAAGACTTTTCAAAAAGACAAAAATGAGTAATCTTGGCATTGTTGGAGTCAGGTGTCAGATCTGACTCCTGTTCTCCGTCTGACCTGTTCGTTTTATGAAGTGTTGTTGCTTTTTTTCTTGCTCCCATAAACTGTCTGCGTCGTCCACGTAAACTTTCTATTGGTCTGTCTACTCTGGTCAGTTCAGAGACAACAAAGAAAAACAAACAAGAATCAAGAGATTTTTTTCGGTCTCAGTAGGAAGGCTACAGGTCCATCAGTTAATACAAGTAAGGATGTTATCGAACACGTGCGTAAAAGTACGTGCGTATGGATACATGTGCCAAAAGCGCAGCGAGCTCTGCAACAGAAGCGACAAATAATAACAATGATAATTAGAAAAAAGGCATTCTGACAAGACAGCTTCTTGTTTGCGCACTAACATGAGCAGCCTCCTATTAAATCCACCTGAAATAAAACAAAAAAATAAATGATCTTTGGCTTCAATAAAGTTGACACATGACATCTGAAGGAAACTTAAAACAATGAAAATCTGACGACAGATGGACACTAGAAGTAGGAGGGGAAAAAAAAACACGAGAAAAAGTTGCAGAGACTTTTTGTGCCTCTGTAACGAGTCTCATTACCATGCCACCCCTCCTCCCCCCTCGTCCTCCCCCGACACCCTTCCTCCTCACTCCTGGCAACAGCAGACAAAGCGGGCGGTTTTTTTTTTTTTAGTGGTCTCCGTCGGGGCGGTCAAGCCTTTGATCTGGGCCCGTTAAGAAGAAGTGAGTCTAAAAAAAGGGGGGAGTCAGGCCGAGAGGAGGGCTGTGGAGGAAGGTAGAGTCACCTAGAAGATATTCTCACCTAGCTTTGGAATAAAAGACTAGAATTGAACCGCTCGTTGTTAATGCGCTATCTGAGGTTAAGATGTTGCCAAACTGAAATCCGTTTGATTCCTGTTTATAACTGCATCATTTTTCTTTCCCTTACTGTAGATCCTATTAACCGGACAGGTAGACGCGCACTGGACGGCCTGGATTTCAAAGGAACCCCCAAAAGAAAGAACCGTGAGGGCCTTCAGAGGCCTGAGCAACTTTGGTAAATAGACAGACACCTCCCCCTGTCCATCAGCTGTAGAGTAGGTCTGTAGCAGGTGAGCTGCAACCATTTTTAAAGGTGTTCAGGATTAAATAGCCTCCAAAGTTGACTACAAGTGAGAGGGAATAAACGACCAATCAGAACAAAATTAACTATAAACTAAATGTATTTAGATTGTTTTTGTAAATTCTCTATATGACCAAGCTTTCACCTTCTGATGTTTAGACGCACTGCATCCAAAAAGATTGTCACAATATTAAAGTGGGGGGAAAAAAAATACAAAAGTGAGGTTTTCATATCTCTGATTGTGGTTCCTGCCTTGCCGCTGCGTCCCCTCGGACTGTCAGACAAAAGGTTTCCTCAAATGAAGTTAGTAATGGTCCACATGTGCCACATGACGGACAGGCCGCGAAGAATTTGCTGTCATGCAAACGCACCGGAAAAAAAGGGGAGACACAACATGACAGCAGCAGAGGAAATAAATAATAAGATTACCAAAAAAAGGTGGTGCTAAAAACGGAAACGTTCAGTGGAGGCTATCAAACAAGCGTTTACACTCAGAATAAAGTAGGAATAAATAAAATGTGCAGCCATAGGTAACAAGAAAATGACACTAACTAGATAAATAATAGCATTGTTAAGGCTGAGTATTAATATGGCACATTTTTACTGTCCAATTACATTTCAAAAAAAGAAAAAGGTAGAATAAACTATTGAAGTATTTATTATTCAAATTCAGAAAAAAATCCAGAATGCTTATCTAAGCAAAAAAAAAATATTCTTCATTTTTGAAATTTAAGGCCCTTTCATTATTTTGAAAGCAATAATTGATATGGAGAAAAATATGTTGTTGTCTGCCTGAGGGCTGTAACACAGTAAAAATGAAAGACTTGTGTGACAGTTTCTGAGTAGAAGGCCTGCTGTAGTCACTTTGAAAATTCCCTTCATTTATTTAAGCATCCCTAAAAAACGGAAACAGACTTAATTATCTTAACCTAAACGCTTTATGTTGATCAGCTCTGCGCACGTTAAATTTGGAGCCTTTTTTTTTTTCTGCTGATAGCTTCACACTTCTCAAACTGTGCAGCAGCCACAATAACGAGGTATTTTATTGCTTTAGAATAATCTTTTTGCAGCAATTAGTTTGTCATATATTGTCATTAGAAGTCTATTAAAACATCAAGTCATTATTTGGGCATCCCCGGGCGGGGAATTAGAATAAAACTATCTTTGCCACACGGGTCCCATTTAGATTAATGGAAAAATATGTAAAACATTTCGTTTTAATTTTCCTCTGACAGTGTTTTGCATACATGCATTTTCCCCGCCTGCGCTGTCCCTCATTATTTATGAAAGCAATCTCGACCAACACATTACCGGGCTATGAAATACTGCTCGCAGCCTAATTGATTCCCGTCACAATTTTGTGAGGTTATAATCGTGTTAATTGTAATTTAATCTCTCAGGGAATACCGGAGAGATGTATTTAAATAAAACTGCTGCGCGAACTGGGAAGATTTTATCAGTTCCACACATAATAGAAATGTCATGTAGAATTACACAGCAGAGGCAGACAGGGATGCATTCCTCTAATCTACAGAGATGTCACTGAAATCTTTTACTGCTTTTTTTTTCTTCTTCTTTCCTTCTTTCTTCCTTATTGAATTGTAAAGGTGCAAAGAAAGCTGAACCAAAAAAATAAAAAATAAAAAGAGCTCTACAAACACCAATAATAGTTTCACCTTTTTATCAGAGAGGGAGGAGGGAAGGTTGGAAATGTGGTGGGTCTAAGTGGAAATAAGAGCAGGATTACTGGGTGGAACGAAAACATGATAATATATGTGGCACATAAGCCCTCGGAGGATGTTGTGCTTTGTTAGAATATAAACTGCTCAAATAATTTCCTGATCATCCTCAAAAAGAGGTGCCCTTTTTTTTTTTTTCTCTTTTTCCCTCCCTTCCCCTTTTTTCTTTTTTAGCTTTCTCTCTGCATGATGCCCTGTGCTGCTTCCTCTGCTTTGAGATCCTCCTTCCTGTCTGTGGGGACACCTGTTGGCGGAGAACAGCTTGGAAAAAGCCAAGTTGTCTCATCAGACTGATCTCCTTCACCACTAAAAAGTCACTTTGTTAGCCTCCGTTGAATTCTTCGGCACTTTTGTGTTCGCAGCCATGTCAAACTGGCTGTGAATGACTCTCTGTGGTCTTTTATGCAGCTCTACTGTACTCTGAATTGGGACTGTCAAAGCTGTTTTAGTGATGCGCAAAATGTTGAACATGTTTAAATTAAAAATACAAAATAGCCACTCAAGCACAGGCATCTTGATTTAATTTTAATGTTTAGTATTTAACATTGTGATAAAACAAAACATGAGGTGACACTGTCAAACCCTTTAAAACCTCTTTATTTTTATCTAACTTAACTTATTCACACAAGATTCAAAGGTGTTTTAATTCCTGAAACATTTTCTAAATTGCAACAATATGTAGCTGGAAAAGAAATGAATAAAAGTTTAGAAAGTCACAGTAAAGTGTTTCAAAATTTGACAAAACAAACACAAATGTGCATTATATTTTAATCTCACCATCTACTCGTGATGCAAGTTAAGGATTCATAACGCTTGTTCCAACATCTATTTTTGAAGATCTCACAAAACACGTCCAGCCCAAATAATAATTTTGAATTTAGTTAATTGAAGTTCGACATAATTGCAGTTTTGTCCACCAACCTCTGGGTATAATGGTAGATTGGGGGGGAAAACAAACAAACAAGCTGAATGTGTGTTCGCGACAGAAAAAAAGCGAACCAGGGGTGAAAGAAATATGTGGCCAAATGCCAAAGAGACAGCTTACTGTTCGGGTCTTTGGCTGGACGCAGGAGTGGTTTCGATCTTTTTTTGTCTGGCCTGGCCTGGCACAGACACCAGCCCTGCCCCAGACACAATAGATCATACAGTAAGAGAGAGAGAGGGAGAGAGAGAGAGATTGGGTGAGGTGGGGTAGAGGAGGTATGGCGCCTTTCATTACCATGGTCACCAATGGCACTATTAACCATTCAACACCCCCCCAATTATCCTCCCATCCACAGTCAGAGAGACAAAGCCTCAGTCCTGGTCTGCTGGAGCAACATGGCCACTAATCTGTCTCATTCGAACATCACACCCACTTCACTGTCTCTGCAAGTCAGACATGGACAAGTGCTCCACAAAGCCCCTTTGTACTGTCATTTGTGACAAGACAACAAACTTCTTTACTGAACTCATTAAGAAGTTCATTTTTGGAGTTTCACCGTTATTGTAAACCCAGGTCGCCTTAATCTTGCGTTAAATGAGAGACGAGTTGGAGAATACCGCTGCAGCTTGTATGCAATGTGTGTTGGGGTTTTTTTTCTCTTGCTTTTTGTGCGGGTCATGGTGTGTATGATGCCACATGCCTTCTCCATCAACACACCATCAACTACAGGCTGCCACAGAGAGAGCTACATGCCTTTACTAGGGAGAATGACACACACACAATCACACACACACACACACACACACACAAAAAAGCTAAATCATGAGTTTACGCACTTCCATCTGTGTTTTTTTTCTAAGAAAGCAGGACTTTGATGTTTGTGAGTCGGGCCCTGGGCAGGGGGCTGAGGCCTGACTGGAAGGCTGGGGCCCAGTGAATAGATCCACAACAGTGGCTTGTTGTGTTTGTTTACCCTTTCGCCCAGCTGCCTGGACCGTGGAGATGGGAGAGCATTCATCATGACCTGGGAGAGATGGGAGGCAGGGGCACACACACGCACACACACTGGAGAATGACATGATGGTGATGCACACACTGCAGAGCATGCCAAGAAAGAAAGCCACACAGGGCAGTAATCCTTTAGTTGGTTTTCAGGAGGCTGTTGACACTCGCTATGTGCAGAGCTTGCATTGTTGAAAATATCTGAAGATACAGGCCAAGTATAAATTGGAACTCGGCAGCCACGTAAAATCAACTGGATTTAATCAAAAATATCATTAAAAACATGAATTACAACCACAGCGTCCTCTGTCCTCGTATGTCAGGCAACGTGACAACAGCTGAAAAGTTTTTTTTTTGAAGTGCCGTTTCTTATAATGAGACCTGCAACATTTCCCCGTTTCCTTTTGACCTCTCCCGTCAGGGTTTAGTTGCGTGGTTCCTCCCATTTCTTCTCCCCACTCGTGTTATTTCTTTGGCACCGCGGCAGAAAGTGTTACGATGTTCTGAGCCTGCTTCAGCGAGGGCATGTCAATCATGCTGCCGCGGAAGGTGAACGCACCCTGAACAGGTTTGCAACACAAGAAAAGCCAAAAGAGAAGCATTAGACCAGAAGTGCATAACAAATGCATTTGATACATATTAAAAACTATGTCAAAAATGGAACACCAAAAGGAAAATTAGTGCATGAAGGTATCAGTTAAACTGCCATTTAACAGTGTCTCTAGTTTACCTATTTGTTTAAAAAAAAAAATTAAATCCCCAGAAACCTTAAGTCATCATATTTGATTTAGAAATATGAAAAGCAAGCACCTGTCAAGACAAAGGGACTAACCCTGCTCACCGTTCAGAACCATTACACACACACACACACACACACACACACACACACAAACAGAAAAACACACATGCGTTTCGCGGCAGAGGGATGGGTAGGATATGAATCCCTCGGGCGATGCTTAGTAGGAGCAGCCCTGGCAGGGAGAAGAGGTGTGGGCAGATTGTGTATTACCTCAGCAGATAGCCCACAGAGCTCAACACACAGGATCCAACCAAGCACTAAATTAGGAACAATAATATTGTACACTTAATTGGCCCCAACTCCCCCCACTCTCCTATGTTGTCTGTGAGAGTCACCCAGGGGTGTACAGTATGTATTCTCTCGAACTACGGAGGTGTGTGAGAGGATACACAAAGGATCAGTGTCAGAGCAGAGAGAGACCCCTGTCATCCCAGACACACAGTCAGCACGGAGGCTTCGTCACGCTGGAGACGGACATTTGAGGAAGTTTTGTAAAGGTATATATATATAGATTTTTTTTTAACATTTTGAAAAATATTTTGTAAAGTCAATCTATTTTCTAATTGAAAAACACTTTAATGAATCCAAATGACAAATGAGGTTTTTTGCTACAAATATCCCAGAAGAGACCATAACAAAAAACAAATGAATAAGAAAAACACGCTGATTTTGTTTTTTTGAGTCATCTATGCATTAAAAACGACATTCTAGGCAAATGATCCAACCACCCATCAGGTATGTTAATAAATGTCCTTTTTTAGTAAAAATTCTCTTTGCATTTTATTGGTCAGCAATTGTATACCAAGACGCTACCATCAAAAAAGAAATTAAAACTACTTTTAAACCCCCCAAAAAATATGATTTTACATTTGGTAAAGAGTGTTGACATTACCTTTCCCTCCTTCTGATGCTGGTCAAAAGCAGCAATGAGCTCTGTGGCCCACTGGACCCTCTCCTGACTCGGGGAGAACTCCTCCTGCACAGCTTGGATCTGCCCTGGGTGGATAACCTGCTTACCTGCACAAAAAACACACGCACACAAAAAAATCAACTGAGCTAATTATAACAGCAGGCTTTCTGTGGCTTGAAATAAAATTAAATAGAAGAAATATTTATGCCAAAAAAAAAAAAACACAAAAAAACCCCAATCCTTTTATTTTGCACAAAACTATCAATAACACAGTTTGTGTTCTTTGCCCTATGTGACCATAACAAGAAAAATATCTATTTCTATGAAAGCTGCTGCACAGGACTGGATAGAAACAGGGAATTGGGAGGGATTGCAGCTGGGACTGTTCTGAGAGAGACGAACAACGCAGAGAGACGCTGAAAGAGGAGAAACAGGAAATACAGAAGACTGAAACGCATATGTGTCACTATGGCCCATGACACTGAGGTGAGTCAGAGGGCTAGCACCGGACCAGGGGATGCTGTGTATCACTACGGATATCAAGTGTCTTGTCTTGCAGAAACTTCACTGAATGCTTAGTTGGACCTCATTATGATACAGAAGTGCACTGACTGATGGAAAATTTAAAAAAAAGACTTGTGAGAGCCTGACACAGCTAAAGCAGACACACAGAGTCAGAAAACAATCACAGAAAATTCACAAGAAAATCACACACAATAAAAAAAATGTAAATATTACATTTCTAATCACATTTAAGCAGAAAACCCAACATTTTCATGCCTCTTATTCTGAACTAACTAGGAGCATCGTTTGATTTTGAAGTTCGATGACACTCACAGTGAACAACAGTAGCCTAACATGGAATTTAGTCTCTGTCCGCCACAGTCCTCCCCACCTTCCTGCTCCCACTCCCTCTCAGTTAAATATGGGTGAACACCACAGACATAATCCCGTGTACATTTGCAGATCAAACTTGTAGTGATAAGTTAAGGTTATGAAACGTCTGGTGAGAACGGCGGCTCAGCGGCAGCCAGCAGGAACTCGACACTTTAGGGCTTAGCTCTGTCGCCAACAACAAATCCTTCAAGGTGGCCGAGCGGGCGGGCTGCACCAGCAAAAAAAAAAATAAAAAAAAAAATTTAGCCCAGGAGTGAGGAGAGGAAAGGCGAGGAGAGGAGGGGAGAAGAGGAGGAGAGGTGAGGGTAGGAGTGAGGAAAAGGGGAGGAGAGAAACCCACTCCCTTCATCCAGCTCCGTTCACCCTAGTTAACCTCAGAAAAACACACAGCAGTCACACAATCAACACGCTGTAGTTAAAGGCTGAAAACAATTACTTATGAGCGAGCATAATTCATAAATTGCTATTTATAATAAACAGTCACCATAGGAGAAAGTGTACCGAATAGAAAATACATTCTAAAGCCACTTTGTGTGTATTTGCAAACCGCTGATGGCTGCTGATGTGTGTTTGTTTGTTTGTGTGTAGCAGAGGGGCTGTAATGGCACATTTTCTGTTGTACAAACAGCCTGAGGAGTCCCCAGGCCACGTTGGAGACGTGAGTTTGTATGTGTGTGTGTGGATGCTTTTGCACCTGTGTATCACCTTGTCTGCAGCATTTCAATGGATAAAGTAGAAAGCTAATGCAATGTGAGTGTGCTGTGCATCATCCTGCATGTGTGTGGTATATGATGTCTTCAATCAGGAGTGAGGCGAGACGGGTGTACAGTCCCTCCTCTGCCACCTGTTTTACTTCTGGGCAGAAGACCAGAGCCTGTTTCCACACTGAAACCGGCAGGCTGAAATATACTGTACGAGGGCGTCTCTTTGTGTCAGTGTGGCGGTTTAGGACGAGGGGAGAATGATGGAGCGAAGAAACAGACTGGGTGACTCAGGTGCCCTCAGTTACAACCCATTGGTTCTCCCAAAATACATCATTCATGCCCTTCAGCCAATCCTGGCCTGCCATGTGGTGCTGACATCTCATTGGAGGATTGCTATTTAGCAAAGTGCTCTCAGGCGAATGATGGCCAGGGTCCTGGGGATGGAAATGAAATGTGGTCCCTAAAAAGCAGAGAATTTTGTGGAACTGTTTTCTATTTCTGGGAGGCAAACATTTTCACCAGGATCATTTAACGGACGCACAATATATGGCACATAAATCTAGGACCTTGTAAAGCAGAACATGCTGTACTATTAAATCCAAAAATAAATCACATTCCTCCCCGTCAAGGGGTAGGATTTCACCCTCACAATATTCGGTTTAACAGCACCGGGTGTTTGTGTTTCACCAGTGCTCAGTGCTAATGGGTGCTGCACACGGCTTAGGTAGTGCCAAGGTCAATTACTACACAGGTAGAAGCTTTTGGCTGCGATGTATTGTTGCTTAAGAACACTCGGGCCAGTAATAGCTACTAACTAAGATTATACAGAGTGCCCATGGCTTGTAAGCCACTAATCCAGTGCTTTCAGTGGTTCTCGTCATATCAAATCTAACCATTTATTTCATCAACCAGCTGCTTCCGTTCATTAGCTTTTACACCTTTTGTGATTTCTTTGATGAATTTCTCCTTGTGAATGGAGAGAAGGTTGCAAATCATTCTGACTTGAGCAACTGCAGACAATTAAAAACATTATATTTATATTGTCTGTATAAATTTGAGGAACTTTTAGGTTAAACACAATATGTAATCTGGGTAGAACTGTAGCTGCAGAATTGAAAAAGACAAATGTGAAATTAAAGATTAAACTGAAAAAAATCCCCCCTCCCCACACACACACACACACACACACACACAAAGGCTCACTGACATGTAGCACCAGAGAAGCGAGGTGGCAAATGAGGTCACCTGGAAGAGTTTCTGTATGAGACAGCAAGAAGCTCAAGCTACAAATTGATTTGATGATGTGCCGTGCAGGTGAACGTGTGTGTCTCGGCCGGTGCAGCATGAAGAGCGCGCTCAGGGTTTCGTGATTTTGTGCCAGCGCTTATTTTCCTCCGTTTCTTTCAAGTGTGAAAACTGACCAGTGTCGGATGCCGTTCTGTTAAAATAATCTCACGTTGGATAAAAAATAAATAAAAATTCAAACATTACAGAACAGTGAGCAAAACAGTATCATGAAATTCTGTTTTGTTTTTTTTATTTCCCCAGTTTATGTGGATGTGCACCACAGGAAAAATACGTTTGATTCGGAATTCATCGGTTTTCAGGGGAGGAAAATATCAGAGCAAATATAGTTGCTGCATCGAAGGAAGGATGACTGGAGCGAAACTGTCCTGCCTTCTGTGGCTACATGCACTGATATACAAAGCTACACAGACACTGAAAGCTTTACCTGGCTGCAGACACACAAAGCACATGCTATCACACTGTCCTAATAACCCCATTTAATGATGCCGGCACACACATGCACCTTTGCATACAAGCAGAAATTCACAAACACAGACACAAAACCTTCAACGTGGGCACACCAAAAAAGTCAGACATGCTTTTAAGGACTGCAGCTTTGCTCACTATTCACTTCAGCAGCACCTAAAGTATTAAAAAAACAGCCAGTTTTAGAACTGCAGACATAATGGTCATTGTAAAATGAGATCTTTGTTACAATATGCAACACATACACATCTAAATACTAAACGAAAAGCCAGGAGATGTTCTGCAACCTCCCACAGTTTTTCTAAGCCAAAATTTAAAACATTTATCAACCAACTCATTTCCTTTTCTAATTTGGATGAGACAGAGGCGAAAGATAGTTTAACAGAGTGAAGGAGGAGTGAAAATTACACTGTTGGATTGCCTGAAAGCTGCTTGGAGCAGGATGCTGAGGGATGTGTGTTACTGTGCCACATGGGCACAAATGCAAGAAATCAGAGGTGCCTCAGGAGAACAGACAGGATGTCGCACGTCAGGACTTGGAGGGCAAATCTGAGTTGCAGAATAAAGGAACTTTACCTGTGAAGCCCATGAGAGCTCCCTCTCTGGCCTGCTGCCTCAGCCCCTCCACGTCTTTGTAGTCGATGTAGACCAGGTCAATAGCCTGCAGCCCAAATGCTTTGGTGGTCACAACCACCTTCTGCCTCGCGTAAAGGAGCTCCCTGGCATCCTTAGTTCGTGTTGCACCTAAAGAAAAAAAGTGCGAGGATTCATGCAAGGCTTGCACAGTGGCTCACATGTCAGTCAAGAAGTCAAAGACGAGGTGAGCAGGTTATCCTGACATATATGATGTCAATATCCTTCTCGTCCTGTATTGTTTCATATCAAAAACAGCTGAATGTGGCTTTCAAATGCTTGCTTTTACTCAGCTGCCCATTTAAATGATTATGCAGAACATATATATGTATAAAAAAGTTTAACCACCAATTTGTGAGTGTTACTGGTTAACTCTCTTCTTTAAAATAAACCTATGTGGTAAATGACTACAAACAAACTTCTAAAAAGTCTCATAATTCAAACACAGCCTGCTTTTTACTCAAGGTAAGTGGCTACAAGCAACATGTAATCATGCATTCTGAGGCGTCCTGGCACAGAAAATCCTGATGTTGAACGAAACATGCGTCTTTAGCTCCATCTCATTGATTATTTTTGTACATCAAAACACCTCATTTCCATCGCACATCTGGAATTCATCACCCGATTCAACAAAAAAACAAACATATTTGAAACCACTTTTCCTCCAGTTCTTTAACCATTTGTTCAAAACAGGGGAAATGTGAAAGGTCTGTGCTGCATTTACAGACGGGCAATAAAACTTTTGGATTTCACACCACTGACGTTCTCTACCACAAAGTCAGATGGAGAAAGAGAGGACAGCACATTTGTGGGAGATTTAAGCGGAATGTGTGATAGCTACCTATGCTGGCACAGAAGTCGTCAGAGCCAAACACCACACCGTCATGGTGGAGACCAGCCTTGGGAGCAAGACGCCGGATTTCCTCACACACCGCCTGGGGAGAATATGTATTAGCATTATATAGGCTGACAAGAGTGAAACAGATGCATAGAGGGAAAGACTGCGGAGCATACTGCCACAAATGCTCACGACTCTATACAGCATCATCACAAAACCACTATTTTTTTTTTTACATAAATATACCTAATTAACACAAATTTGTCAAACTCTAATTTGCATTCGAGGTTATTTTCCATACAGATTGATATTATTATACCAGCCTATTTAATGCACCACCTGCAGTCACACAAACATACATAAAAGTAAACCAACGCAAGCAGGTGCTGAGCAGAAGCCCATAGAGACGCTTCTTTTCTCTTGGCTGGTTTGAGACACTTCACGAAGAAAAGGATGAGTATTAAACCTCAAAGCTTTTTGAACAAAAGTACAAATGTTTCTAAACCTGTGAAGCACTTTAAGGTTTTTAAGCATTCTTTACTTATTCCATGACTGTGTACTACTTGATTTTAAGGACGACTTTGCATGCTGCTGACTGGATTTGATGCAGCTAAACTTTTAGTGTGGTTACCTTGTGTTAAGAAAACATTAATAGCTGATGCAGGAAGAGTTTGCCAATTTGCTAAATAAAAAGAAACATATTAACTTGAAAATTTTCAAAGACAGACACTTAAATAGAAGTCAAATACTACCTTGCTCCTACCAAAAAAAAGTCAAATACAACAATAAAAGCAAAGGACACTGGCCACAATTATTGGTAAGGAAAGCCAAATGATGGAAGAAAAAAAAATCTTGACTGTAATCGTCTGTGGTGAAACAATAAGAATGTGTTTCCGGCTTTTGTTGGCCTCCAAATTAATTTCACCACTAGCTGTGCCACAGCGAGGTTTTTTTCATGCTTGTAACCTGTGGTTCAGTCTGGGCAAAAATACAGGGTGTTCTCAAGAAAGCAGACCGAGGCACCCCCCGCCATCAGAACACACACGCACCCACTCACAACCACTGTCACAGAATTAGAGTGAAGAACTAAAAGACAAATCAAAAGAAGGAATGACAGCTGGTTTCTCCCCAAATGCCCAAAACCATGCCCTTTTCCCCATGTAGCTGAAGGTCGTGCTGCACTATAACAGAAACCGCTTTGATGCTAGCCAAAATATCATTAAGAACTTTTCCACTATGATGACATTAAAACAGTTCTAATTAAAAAATGTCAGCGTGTCTGAAGAGGGATGGAGACACACAGACACAGAGAGAAAGGAAGCAAAAAAAACAAAACGCCTGAAAAGGCTAATTTTGAGAGACAGTCCCAAAGCTTTGAATCCCTTTTATTTTGGACATGTGGAGTTCTCTGCTCGCTGATGCAGTCTTTAATCTAAAGTGAACAATGGACAAACAGCAAAATGTCTTACGCATGCAATTTTTTTTGGGGGGGTGGCTTGTTTGTAATTTACCTTAAAATTGAGCAGGCCCACAGCGGTTTCCACAAAGGTGACGAGGCGAATGGGTTCTGTCAGTGCCCGTCCTTTCAAGTTGTGCTGAAACCTGTCAACAAACTAAGCACACAGGGACCATCTCATGCACAACTCATTAACAAAACCCACTGTTTCTGTGAGGGGAAAGCAATAAACCTCCAAACAATCACAACAAATTAATTTGTTCTCGCTACTTTGTACAATCATATTTACACATTCAGATGTTTGTGCTTTATTGGCGCACAAAACACATTTTAGCAAGAAAATCACTTTTTTTTTTCAGAGGTATGATCACATCATGAAGGAAGCATCTTGTCCCAGTGGATTGAATTTCTGTTCAACTTTTTACTCTTCTGTAAAAATTTGTAGTGCAGCTGCCACCTTCTGTGGACTTATCAATGCATTATTAGCTTTATGAACGAGGAAGACAGGCAGCTCGACAGGAGAGGAAATCTGAGTTATTGTCAGAGTGAATTTAAAAGTGACAGAAAAAAGTATTCAGCAGTAACAATGGTAAATGATTTGACACATCTTTCAAAAACCTACTGTGGGGTAAGAGACAGAGAGGAGCAAAAAAAAAAAAGAAGAAATCTTAATGTGCAAAAACTCACTTTTGATACAAATCTTGACACCTTTATTACCTGCGCTGTTCCCATTTCAGTCCTTATTCAGAGACACATCTATGAGGGTTCAAATAGCTCAGAGAGCAAGCACAGGAGAGCGGCAACAAAAGCCAGTGAAATGAAATATTTTACATTATCACCAGGGTTCCCCCATCGTCTGAAGTCTTCTGCTTTACCTTCTTTCAGAGGCTCGGCACAAACTACAGCATGCGCTCCCCCGAGAGAGTTTGTGCACACACACACACACATGTAAATGCTCACACGCACGAAGCAGCAGTACACGCGCACACACACACACACACACACACACACACACACACACAGCAAGCCAAAGAAGAAACAAAATACCGAAAAGGGGAGAAGAAACAAGATTTGGGATGTCTTTGAGTGTGTTTTACTCCTACATTATTCTGTTTTGTGTCCCTCCTCCATGACAGGGGAACAGGGAGACTGGAGCAACAATCAGAGTGTGATGTGACACTTTGCTGAGGCCTTTATTCTGCACGACTCCTGCTAATATGCAAGCTCACCTAAGTAGGGCTTTAAAACCAAGTTTAATTCTTTGAAGACCAAAGCATTCCAATTTTTTCCAACAGACCAGTTCACAGCTAGCCCTGGACTGCCAGTGGGGTAGCCCAAATTCCTAAATCTATCATCTGGAAACACACAAAAGCCCCCTCCGTCAGATATTTCCTTTCAAAGCCAGACAAAAAAAAAAAAAAAAAAGAGAGAGAGAGAAGAGTGTGCAAAAGCTCAGAGTAGAAATGTCTACCTCCATGTCCTCCCCCCCCTTCCTCCTTTTTCTCCCTCTTTGACACACCAGGAAAAAAGACGGTTATAAATAACCTCAGGTACAGCGCTACTATTTTTCTAAATGAAGAGCAAAATAACCCCCGCGCTCACACTCACCACTCTTGTTCTCAAAACTGAAAGAGTGGGCCTCCATTGAAGGATTTCAAAAATAGGGGCAATTTTAATCATCTCTCCATTCAATCTCAGTTGGATAAATCATATCTGAGAGATTTGCATAAATACAAACCATCAAAGACTTTTCATCTTCAAAGAGGTTTTCAAGACCCAATAGGCTTTGTACTGTAATCATCTGAGGTCACAACCCTGTGGGAGCAAGGCTGCTATGGCAACATAAAAACTAACGCTGGGGGCTTAGCATAATATCCCCCCCTCCTTCGCAAACACAGGAAGGGGTGGGGGGGTACGAGAGGGAGTGTGAAAAGAGGGTGTAGATAAACCTATTTCTGTGACAGAGGAAACTAGATAGATATGGCCTGTTGTGGGGGAAACCTAACTGATATTACACACGGAGATTACCACCGGTACACTGTGCCATGCAAACCCTAACAAGGCAGCGGCGGGCCCGAGCGGGCCGCTTGGAGTCCACCAAAGGAAAACAAATGACAGCTCCACGCAAGCACCGCTGGCTAAAAAGCCTCCGAGCCTCTCTGATTACATGTTTCTGTCCTTCTGCTGTATTCTTCTCTTCTGCTATTATACACTTTGAGGGTCTGATTTACGCTGCATAAGAGGTGCCATAGTGCTTGTTCATTGTTCCTCCGGTGCGTGCAGCAACCATTAGCTTGTCAATGGCTCTCAAATGTAGGACCCCTTAAAATGTTATTCATCACCGAATTGAGGAAAGAAAAATAAAAGAAATGTTAAAAAAAAGAAAGGAAGAAATAACACCTCTTCTTGCCATTCAAAGCCACGCTACAAACAAGCCCTCTGACAATTTTGCCACCCAATCATGAAAAGAGAAGGAGGGCGAGATGGAAGCTTGAGAAAAGGAGGCTATAGTGGGACAAGTTTCAATTAATTTTCTTCAAAAGGGGGCCAGATTAAATGTTTCCGGCCTGCTGAAGTGTTCATTTCACAGAGGGGAAGCGGAGAAAGGGATGAGGGGAGGGGACGGGAGGAGGAGTAGAGGAGTAAGAGGAGGAGGAGCGGGACAGGGTGCGATTCTTTTGGTCCCAGTGCACACCAAATAGTGTGGTGGGCAAAGAATGCACACGGCTCCGAATCTGTGTGAGAATTGTCCTCGAACAAAGGAGGGAGTTACGCCTGTTATAGCCCAATAAGGCCTGTCAGTCACACAAGGGCCGGAGGAGAGTCGAGAGACAAGAGCAAAAGATTTCCACACAAAGAGAAACAAGCAAGTCCATCTTTTAGCGACAAATCAGTCTGGAGGTTCCTGTGCTAATATCAATAAAAAAAGGAGAGCAAAAATAAACAAGTGAGGGATTTACTGCGCTGCCTTACAAGAGTGGACAACATCAGACACATGCTTCCAACACAGACACGTGAATGCGCACAGAGAAGAAAAGTTTGGTAGGAACAAAGATAAGATTATGCATGAGTGAACCGACGTCCCATCCAGAGCTACCAACATGACTTTCTCTCAGGATCACATGCACCTGCTGATGGAAAAAACACATAGTGCCAAATAAATCAAAAACAGATTTACAGTGTCCTTACAGGCATTACTCCTGAGGGGAACCGTCCCAATATGAAGGGCTGACCCAAATAAACTTATAATAAAGTGGATTTTTTTTTGCCAAAAAGCACTGGTTTTGGAAAATGAAATAAACAAAAAAAACATATAAGTAGGCAATTATGTGTATTTTAGAGCCTTCAGTGTGCTTCCTGTTATTTTTATAATAATGATAGTAATAACAACAGTCGATGGTGTTAAGAAATGCCAAACAAAAAAAATGACTTTTTTTTTTAAGTGAGGAAAAGCAGCCAAGGGAGAAAAGAGCCGAGGGAGAGAATTAGTGAACACCTGCCAGCAATTATACTTGGAAGAAAGAAAGGGCAGCAGGAAATAGACGTGTTCTAATTAAAAGCACTAGTTAAAAACTTCCTGCTCCTGCCCCGAGACCATGTATGAGTATTTGTGCATGTGCGTGCACGTGTTTGAGCGCGTAGTAACACTGAGGTAAAAAGCCAGACTAGACACATGCCTTTCACTACTGATTACCTCTCCCATTCTCCCTCTTGAACCACATCTCAATTCCTCCACTTCTTTAAATCACCAAAAACTGTTGTGATGAAATAATGTAAGACTCATTTTAAATTGCATATTGGCCACTTAAAAATGCGCCTTGGCTTGGTGGAAAGAGTAAGAGAGAGAGGAGGGGGGAAAATAAACACTGACAGCTCAAGCGGTGAGTTTTTTTTTTTAACAGAACAACAATTAATTATCTTTGAACTATGAGGTGCAAACAGTGAAGACGACTGACAGTATCCTGCTTTCTCCCGGTAAGTGAAGCATATGGAGCTGATCAGAACGGTCCGCATTAATGATGTCACTGTCTCCTGACCTTTCGGGACTTGACATCCGTACAGCACCCCTTTATAGAAAGTCAGACGGATGGCCAAGCGCAGACAAACACCTCTTAACTATTGCACAGGCCAAGTTAGTGCAGACAAATTGTAATTCATTTAGAGTAAAACTGGAAACGATGTAGCAGTCAGTTAATTATTAGAAGCATTCATCCATAACCTTTTTGTAAGGGATCAAAACTTTCCAATATATGTCAGTTTATGATTTGTCTATGAAAATTCTTAGTCAAGACCCAAGGAGATGCTCAAGAATGTCCATTTGTGAGCTTTTCTAAAACACTGGAGCCTCAGTAACTGGAAAATGGTGTTTTTTTCCCCCCCATTGTACATGTGTTGACAGTTGCGATACAGTCAATATTTAAAAGGTGTGTATGAATAAGGGAATGTAATGCCTATTTGCTGATTAAATTAGTTCTTAGCCACAACACGACACTGTTTGCAGCAGTCTTCAGTGAGTTCACCAGTGGCAGAAGGCACCATTGTGTTGTTACAGAAAGCTATCGGGCTTCTGAAGCTAATCCGAAGAAATGTCATCCGCTTCTTGAGCGGCAGCCAAGAAAAACACTCTGCCTGTCCCTGACGGTCCTGACACAGGGATCAATTCCCTCTTTTACTGGGAAATGGAAAAGTTTGTTATGACTGCTTTGAAGATTCCCGAGGTTTCTTCTTACTTCATGAGTTTGTGTAAGAGCACCGCTGTGTTTTTTAAGAGACACCCAGAGGTGAAAGAGAGAAATGTCATGGGTATTTTTAGTTTTTTTTTTTTGGTTTCTTTTTTAAATAAGATTCTGGAAGAAAAAAAAAAGCCTACTTTGACTTTGAAAAACTACAGTGGTTGTAAGATGGACTGGGACTTGGAGCTCACCCATTGCACCTCCTGTACGTCCTCCACTTTGGGCAACATGATGGCAGGAGGAAGGACCTTAGCCTGCAGAATGACCTGCAGGTCAGCCTCAGCTAAACCACTGGACACTGAGTTCACCCTCACACACTTCTCTGTCCGGCCCAGGTCCAGTTCTTCTAACATCCTGGGAATGGTCTCCCTGGCCTCTGTCTACAAAACAAAAGCATAAGACACAAACAGAAACCACGATTATTCATTGTGCTGCAGATTACAGTTTGGGATAAAGCTGCTCATTCATTCAGCCTGTGTGAAGCTGTCAGATTCAAAACTCAAGTACAGTTACTGTCAGATCATGTAACTACTGAAGTAGCTGGACACTACTGAGGATTTGTGTTAGGTTTATTCACACATACAAATCACTTCCAGTCATCTAAAAAATTATGTAGAGAACACAATAAAAGTCCAATTCCCTTCGCTGTTCATGCTTAATGATATCGGCCATTAAGCATGAACATAAAAATAAACATTGCATTATGAATACAAATGCTGTATGATTAAAGTGGACAAACTGGCAAAGCACACATCAATCTGAAATAAATAGCATCACGATTAAACTTTAGCATATTTTTAAAAAAAGAAGAAGAAGAGAAAAAACACAAGATAAAATAACATTCATCTGTACTGTCCTTTGATTGCAGTGCATCTTTATACATTAAAGCACAAATCGGCAAAAAAACCCCAAGGCTGCACACTCAACTTTGTTCCCTCAACGCAGGCATTGTATGAGCTGAGCAGGAAGAGACATGAGGAGGATGGAAAAATCAAAGAGAAGCCTACACTCCCAACTCCTATCCGTAACACAGTAGCACACGCCGCTATATTCAAACCAGATGCGGGGCCATAGGAATGGAGAGAAAGAAGGATGGAATGGGAAGAGAAGTCAGGCTGGGGAGTGGAGAGAGAGGTTCTGTGGGAGAAATGTGGTCTGAGTTAAGCAGCATGAGGAAACGGTGGCTTAGGAGTTGTCAGCTCAGATCAGAGACTGGAGCCTTTGAGTGCTTGTGGGTGTGTGTGTGAGTGTTTGGAGATGCTCAGATTGTTTCTTTCCTGATCCAAATTATTGCAACGAAAAAAAAAAAAAACGTACAAGTAAAATACTCCCAATCTGATGCCAATTGCTGAGTGAACCACAAAGGGTTTTGAGATGCTAATTTGTAAAATAAAACATGGGTAATTAAAATATTGCACCGACGGATGGTGGCAAACGGGGCATCGTGCCATGCGATGAAATGCTCCGCTTCATGGCAACTTGGTGATGCAAATGCTTTGCTTCTTCTTTTTTTTTTTCTTTTTACTGCTTAATAACATCAGAGTAGAATATCTAAACAGGGTGATAATTAGCAGCCTGATCGCTGAAGTAATGCGAGTGTGTACATGAAAGAGAATATATAGACAGACATACCACGGAGAGCCCATATACTGTATCCCAATCTCTTGTAAAAACTAAAGTGAACTAGAGTCAACCTAGGTTCAGTTGTATTAGAGCGTATGGGGACCCCTCAAGGGTCACAGGACTAAACAGTCCTCGCTCTGATCTCCTGGAATGCAGAACTGTATTTGATATTGTGAACACCCTTCCAGTATCAATAAAATACGGTATCAAAGTACATATCAAAGATTTGCTCGGATTTAATAGGGGTCATGAGCAGGCTGGACTGCTGTGTGTCATCTATGTCTCCCTTTTGCCTCACTGAATGAGACAAGAGGGATTGTCACACCATATGATGAGTGCACTGTGATCTTTGCCTCTTACTCAAGTTTTGCTCTCTCTTTCTCTTTCTTATTGCCGCTCTCATAAGCCAAGGCAGACCTGTAACTGTATCGTGGTAACTTAAAACGGATGGAGCGATTTACGCAGCCATAATTCACTATTCATAAACCTGCTACTTGGTGGATAAAATTCTATTTGTCCCTCCGCAGTTCATCGTGACTGAGGAAAATTGATCTGTGAGAACCGCTGGCTGCTTCATGTGCCCAGAGTCGCATTGATCCCTGACCAAGCTAAATAAATAGAGATCCAGAAATGATCAAAAAGCATGGTTTATAACATTCACAGATCAAATAGACAGGAGAACTCCAACCTCCCACTCCAAACTCTGCCTGACATACTGGCAGCCCGCATGTATAAAATTCTTTTAATGTAACCAGAGATCACTCATTGCAAGAATTGTCTCCTGCACTTTTCTCCTTTTGCAACGGTATTTTTGAATCTGTGAGGCCAGGAATGGCTAAGGAGACGGCCAGGTCACTATGCACTATCCTTGCTTTTATCTCCCTTTCTGCCTAAAGTGAGAGATAGATTATTCTGCCAGACACCTTGACCCCTATGGGCTCCACTACTCCGAGCTTGAATAAAGCCCTTTGAAAAGCAGATATTTTACATTAATGGACAGCCATCCAACAAGTTGCTTCAAAGCTCCCTCCCCAATCACCTGGTGTCCCACGGAGAGCTCGCCCTAACGTCAGCTCCATCTCCTCTTTGATTCCCTCCATCATCCTCATCATTAGAGGCTGACACACAGGCAGGCAAGCTTGCAAGCAGTCAGCCAAGCAGGCAGGGCCGTAGAACGCATAGATGCACACGAGAAGCTTTTCAAGTGCAGAGAGGCTGACCTTCCAGGAGAGCGAGGGCAGCTTCTTAACACACAGCCTGAGCCTTGACGCTCTGGATCCTACAGAGTGCTGTGTATATGTGACACAGCATGGCTGCTGCCTTGTAGACACCACATCAGACTTGAGCGTCCAAACTGATGTGTGTACAGTCCACAGCGGGACCGGCTTCCTCTTCAGCATCAGATCATGGATGCCCGGCCCTTCTGTCGTGCCGCTTGAAACAAGCAGCGTCAAACATTGCCTCTGGACAGACTATGCATGCAGACACACTCCATCTCTTTATTCAATTTAAATTATTCCTCAGTGAAGAGATGACTACTGTATACTACATTCTGGATATATACATATCAGGGCAAAAAAAGAACAAAATGTGCTTTCGACGGTGCACCAGCTTTCTAACAATTTCATGCACAATATCAGTAACCTGGGAAACAGCAAAATAAAAAACAAATGGCATAAATTAGGATAATTTACACATTACAAGTCAGTGTTATTCTAAAAACTGCCAACAGCTGTGTGTCTGCATTCTACAAAACAACTTGTATGTACATTGCACCTTTTTTATCACTGACACAGTGACTTCAAACAGTAGAGTGCTGTATCTTTATTCTGAAAGTGTATATATATGGTTTCATGTGAAAAATAGTGAGAGATCATGAGTTACTATGAGCGTAGTTGTTTTTCCACTTTTTTTTTTTTTTACCTTTTAAGAGCTGGCGTTTTGCACCCTGCTGTGCAACTCGCGATGCCATTTAAAATGAGCCGTAGACTCTCGCAGGTGAAGGCTGCCTGCCTCAAGTGTGACTGTGTACGCATTTGTACGTCTGTCTTTGTCAGCGAGCGTGTGTTGGGGTGTGTGCGCGTTAGCAGGCTTCAAGTCAGCGTGGATGCGTTCTGACAAGTGACATGCTGCACTCCAGAAAGCTGGAGTGAGATGACTGACTAATTCAGGCTACGCTGATAACTGAGATGTTGCAGAAGGAGATTCGGGCCTTCACTCTGTCAGTTGGAGGCACACTGTGTTATCTGTTATCCTGTCAGGGCAGACAACAAGACATAACTAGCAGGACAGAGGAGGAGGAATTTGTAAATCATGAAACCTGCTTGTCATAGGTAGTCAAAACTGACAGCCTGAGGTGGAAAACAGCTAGTTATTACACACTATTTATACACTGTAATTAGCCGTGAAAAGATGTCATTACAGAGCCTTGGTTACAGTTCATTACAAGCTGCATTGCGATGTTTTGGGGAAATGAATTTGCAAGAGCTATGTATCCATTTTGTGGGGAAAATGGAAAAGGGAAGGCTCAACTGTCAGTGTCTTTACAGCCATTCTTGTACTGTTTGTCAGAAATACTGCATTAACACGACAAATTCACAAAAAACACCAGACATGCCACCCTTATCTAGATATCTCTCTATTGGCTTCCAGTTAGATAATCTGAAAAGCCCTCCAATGCTTTCTTTACATGCACTTGACTTCTGCAAAAGCATGCTTCATAGCACATCATCCAAAGTCCTAAATAGACTCCACTACACCTGGAACTCTGCTGCTTTCCTGATCACTCATTCTCAAGACCGCATCTTCCCTATCCTCAAGAACCTCCACTGCCTCCGTGTCCCAAAATGCAATCAATTCAAATTCATTATCATCATCACTCCATAAGCAGCTCCCCTCCCTAACTCACTGACCCCCTTTACTGCCACACTCCCTTCCACAGACTGTGTCATCTGTTGTTTCCTTCATCTGGAACTCACCCAAAACCCATTTGTGACTGCATCAGCATATCTACATTCAAAACAGCTACTCAAATCTAGCCTTTGTAGAGCTGCTTTTAGATTTGATTTCATGCTCCTTGCTACTTAATGTACTTTCAGTGTGTTCTCTTGCTTTCCACGTGTTTTATATAGAGATGTTTTTTTTGTCTTCTGTACAAAGTACCTTTAAAAGTATCAGTTGAAGAAGTAGTTTTATTATTTGCAGATTGATTTAGGGACAAAGGGACTCACACCATTCAGCCAAAACAATAAAGTCAACACTTACAATACTTTCTTGTTACAATGGCATCTATCAACGGGTGGGACATATTAGGCCACATCAGTTCTCAAAGCTAATGTGTTGGAAGCAGAAACAAAATGGGCAGGCGTAAGAACTCAAATGACTTTAACAAGGATTAAATTGTGATCGCTTTATGACTGGGTCAGAACATTTCCAAATGAGAAGGTCTTTTGAAGTGTTCCTGGTGTGCAGTGGTTAGCATGTACCAAAAGTGGTTCCAAACAAGGACAACCAGTGAACTGGTGACACGGTCATTGTGGAAGAAGCAGCAGGATGCACTATGATGCTCAGGAAAATGTGCTTTAAAAGTGGAAAAGTTTGAGAACAACAGAGTTCAAGGCACTGACTCAGCATCCAAATTCCCCAGATCTCAATCCTATCGAACACCTATAGTATGTGCTGGAAAATTAAGTTGAATTGATGGAGGCCCCACCTTGCAAATTATGGGACTTTAGGAGATCTGCTGTTAATGTCTTGT